TGGTGGTGTTATCATGTGTAATGAGGTGTACCTTATAAAGTGGCCAGTTTGTGTGTGTGTGTGTGTGTGTGTGTGTGTGTGTGTGTGTGTGTGTGTGTATACGTGTATGTATATATATATACATATATATATACATACATATATATATATATATATATATATATATATATATATATATATATATATATATATATATATATATATATATATATATATATATATATATATATATATATATATATATATATATATATATATATATATATATATATATATATTAGTTTTGTATTATTTATCTACAGTGTGTAATAAAATTTCCCCAACATTTCTCTAGTCTTCAGTGTCACGTGATCCTTGAAGTCTAAAATATTTAGTTTTTTTTGTTTAAAAAAACATTAACAGTGGAAAGCATTCACTGTTCTCTATCTGTTGTTGTGCTGTATTACACTGAGCTCTATTGTCTTTGTCTTCTTTTCCACAGTCTTGACTGTGCGTAAATCTGTGTGTTTCAGGCTTAATGCTCAGTGTGAGTCTCTGGAAGCGGAGAAGAACCATGTGTTTCCAGCCGTACATGCGGACAGGAGAGAGTGTTTCCAGCAGAAGGAGCCGCTGCTGTTCAGCTGTGCCGGAGTCAGTGCCAAACACCAGCGGATCTGCCCGTGCAGAGACTTCATCCAAGGCCAGGTGGCGCTATGCAGAGACTGCCTTTGAGCTCCAAACACCAACATCAAAACACAAGTCTGTGCGAAGCTGAGGCCGGTCCTGGAAGTCAAACATGTCCGAGTCCCCGATATCAACAGCTGCATGGGAATTGCTGGAGAGGTGGAGTTGTGTTTTCACTCTTGGTTCCTTTGATCCCAAGAAAAAAACATTGTCTCCAGACGAGCTGCTGATGGTAAGGGAGATGTACCCTGATGTTAAGGGCTTCGCCATCTTTCTGGAGGAGTTCAGTCGGCGGTGGAGTTGAGATTGAAAGACGTGAACGGAAAATAAACAAGAGTTTGAGGCTACTTGGTGATGCAGGTCAGACTCTGGAAGTTGTAGTTTTACGAAACTGCAGATGAATTTTAAAGTCAACATGAAACATTATGGAGTGCTGCTGGGATGATGTATTTTTCTAGACTAAAACTTGAAAACAAGTTATATTTTCCTGTTTTATTGTCGCAAATTAAATTTTTGGGATTTTGGTTAAATGTTTTAATAAGTTCTGCTCAAATTAATACACAATAATCTTGGAAAAAGTGGAGGCTAAGGCCGTACTCACACTAGGTACAGTTGCCTCAAACCGGGCCAAAGCACGCTTGTCCACCCTCCCGTCTTCCCCGGTGGCCTGAGCTCACACCACAAACGGGCTTCGGCACGCTTACATCATCGCTGCTGCGCTGTTCATTGAGAAGCGCTCTCTCACTCAGCAGCACAGTGGGGATTTCTCTAGTTATATCGTTTCAGTTGTTTGATATGCCGTCAAATATTTCGCCAAACAGTCTTTAGGGATGCGGGGACACACAGTCAGATATTTCGCCGAACAGATCCGCCACTTTTGGTGCTCATAAACAATCATAAAGCTCTCGTGCTGCAGGAATGAGGAGGTCTGCTGAAGGCGCGCAGCTGTCGCGCAGTGAGGGGTTTGCATCTTTAATAAACTACGGAAGTTTACGTTCACTGAACAGTAAGAATGATTAATAAATCCATATGAAACAGCCCCGTTAAAAGTCACGTCTCGCTTTCAGTTCACAGCCCAAGTGAACCGGGCTCAGGCACACCTCTTCCAACCGGGCCAGGGCCGGCCTAGTGAACCGTGCTTGAGCCCGATTCAGCACACTCACACTTCTCAAACGATCCGGAAAACGGGCCTGGGCACGGTACGGATGGCAAAGTATGAGTAGGCCCTTAGGCTCTGATCACATCAAACACATCAGCTCTGAAAAGTGAGAAGTGCAACTTATCTTTTTATTGACTTTAGAAAGCTCCCAGTGATTCCCAGCTGGAAGGGCATCCGCTGCGTAAAATCGTGCTGGATAAATTGGCCGTTCATTCGCTGTGTAAGACGAAGACAAAAAGAAAATGAATAAATGAATGAATGATTTTAAAAAAGAGCAGTGGACTGCGCTTTTTATTTTGCTAGCCAACCACTGTATCAATGTTCTTTATGCTGGAGCGCACTTTTTCTCCCTTCAGGTGTACAGACACTCTGTAATGCTGTGTTCACACCTGACGTGGAACGCGCGGATAAATCACGCTAATCGCGCAAAAATAGCCGCGTGAACTTTTGAGTTTACTCGCTTCTTTCGCGCTTCAAACCCTGCTTTATTCGTGCATCAAATTTACTTCAGAACAGACGCGGATTCGCGTGATAAGCGTGGCTTCTGTCTGCCCATTGACTCTAGCTTCGTTGCTAAATGGCTAACATGGATTTCATTAAGAAAATAGCAGTGTTTGTGTGCTTTATGAATGCTAAAAAAACAGCGTCGGTACGTTTAGGGTCGTGTCTGAGTCCACTAGATCCTTTCAGAGGTGCATCCAGCTCTGTGAGCTTATAAACTCCTCCAGAAACTTAACATGGATGATGGAGGCTTTTAGCGGTGCCTCTGACTAAGCTGAGCCCAGTTTGATGAACTGTTGTCGGTGTCGGCTGGAGGATTTCCCACAGGACACCAACAACAAGCGCTACGTCACAATCACGCCCCCACAAGAGCAAGCTCCTGATTAGTTAATGTGACGCGAATGTCCGCTTAAGCGCATTTGTGCATATCGTGCCTTTCGTGCCGCGCTATTTGTGAAATTTGCATCATTTGCACCGCGCCATTTGCGCATATTGCGTCGCAGGATGTCTATTCGCGCGGTTGCATTGACTCAACATGGAAATCACTCGCGCTTGATGCTTCTTCCTTCCGTCTGGTATGAACACATGAATGACTTTAAAAAAGAGCAGTGGACTGCGCTTTTTATTTTGCTAGCCAACCACTGTATCAATGTTCTTTAAGCTGGAGCGCATGACATCAGGAGATTTTCTGCACTTTTTCTCCCTTCAGGTGTACAAAACGCTCTGTAATGCTGTGTTCACACCTGACGTGGAACGCGCGGATAAATCACGCTAATCGCGCAAAAATAGCCGCGTGAACTTTTGAGTTTACTCGCTTCTTTCGCGCTTCAAACCCTGCTTTATTCGTGCATCAAATTCACTTCAGAACAGACGCGGATTCGCGTGATAAGCGTGGCTTCTGTCTGCCCATTGACTCTAGCTTCGTTGCTAAATGGCTAACATGGATTTCATTAAGAAAATAGCAGTGTTTGTGTGCTTTATGAATGCTAAAAAAACAGCGTCGATACGTTTAGGGCCGTGTCTGAGTCCACTAGATCCTTTCAGAGGTGCATCCAGCTCTGTGAGCTTATAAACTCCTCCAGAAACTTAACATGGATGATGGAGGCTTTTAGCAGTGCTTCTGACTGAGCCGAGCCAAGTTTGATGAACTGTTGTTGGTGTCGGCTGGAGGATTTCCCACAGGACACCAACAACAAGCGCTACGTCACAATCACGCCCCCTCAAGAGCAAGCTCCTGATTAGTTAATGTGACGCGAATGTCCGCTTAAGTGCATTTGTGCATATCGTGCCTTTCGTGCCGCGCTTTTTGCGCAATTTGCATCATTTGCACCGCACCATTCGCGCATATTGCGTCGCAGGATGTCTATTCGCGCGGTTGCATTGACTCAACATGGAAATCACTCGCGCTTGATGCTTCTTCCTTCCGTCTGGTATGAACACATGAATGACTTTAAAAAAGAGCAGTGGACTGCGCTTTTTATTTTGCTAGCCAACCACTGTATCAATGTTCTTTATGCTGGAGCGCATGACATCAGGAGATTTTCTGCACTTTTTCTTCCTTCAGGTGTACAGAACGCTCTGTAATGCTGTGTTCACACCTGACGTGGAACGCGCGGATAAATCACGCTAATCGCGCAAAAATAGCCGCGTGAACTTTTGAGTTTACTCGCTTCTTTCGCGCTTCAAACCCTGCTTTATTCGTGCATCAAATTCACTTCAGAACAGACGCGGATTCGCGTGATAAGCGTGGCTTCTGTCTGCCCATTGACTCTAGCTTCGTTGCTAAATGGCTAACATGGATTTCATTAAGAAAATAGCAGTGTTTGTGTGCTTTATGAATGCTAAAAAAACAGCGTCGGTACGTTTAGGGTCGTGTCTGAGTCCACTACATCCTTTCAGAGGTGCATCCAGCTCTGTGAGCTCATAAACTCCTCCAGAAACTTAACATGGATGATGGAGGCTTTTAGCAGTGCTTCTGACTGAGCCGAGCCCAGTTTGATGAACTGTTGTTGGTGTCGGCTGGAGGATTTCCCAGAGGACACCAACAACAAGCGCTACGTCACAATCACGCCCCCACAAGAGCAAGCTCCTGATTAGTTAATGTGACGCGAATGTCCGCTTAAGCGCATTTGTGCATATCGTGCCTTTCGTGCCGCGCTATTTGTGAAATTTGCATCATTTGCACCGCGCCATTTGCGCATATTGCGTCGCAGGATGTCTATTCGCGCGGTTGCATTGACTCAACATGGAAATCACTCGCGCTTGATGCTTCTTCCTTCCGTCTGGTATGAACACATGAATGACTTTAAAAAAAGAGCAGTGGACTGCGCTTTTTATTTTGCTAGCCAACCACTGTATCAATGTTCTTTAAGCTGGAGCGCATGACATCATGATATTTTCTGCACTTTTTCTCCCTTCAGGTGTACAGAACGCTCTGTAATGCTGTGTTCACACCTGACGTGGAACGCGCGGATAAATCACGCTAATCGCGCAAAAATAGCCGCGTGAACTTTTGAATTTACTCGCTTCTTTCGCGCTTCAAACCCTGCTTTATTCGTGCATCAAATTTACTTCAGAACAGATGCGGATTCGCGTGATAAGCGTGGCTTCTGTCTGCCCATTGACTCTAGCTTTGTTGCTAAATGGCTAACATGGATTTCATTAAGAAAATAACAGTGTTTGTGTGCTTTATGAATGCTAAAAAAACAGCGTCGATACGTTTAGGGCCGTGTCTGAGTCCACTAGATCCTTTCAGAGGTGCATCCAGCTCTGTGAGCTTATAAACTCCTCCAGAAACTTAACATGGATGATGGAGGCTTTCAGCAGTGCTTCTGACTGAGCCGAGTTTGATGAACTGTTGTTGGTGTCGGCTGGAGGATTTCCCACAGGACACCAACAACAAGCGCTACGTCACAATCACGCCCCCTCAAGAGCAAGCTCCTGATTAGTTAATGTGACGCGAATGTCCGCTTAAGCGCTTTTGTGCATATCGTGTGCGCTATTTGCGCAATTTGCATCATTCGCGCCGCGCCATTCGCGCGTATCGCGTCGCAGGATGTCTATTCGCGCGTTTGCATTGACTTAACATGGAAATCACTCGCGCTTGACGCTCCTTCCTTTCATCTGGTGTGAACACAGCATTAAAAACTCAAGACGCAGCAGGTTAGAAAACAACCGGGTTACATAAATGGACTTAAAATAAAAAGTTGCTATTTTCAAGGCTGATATGTTTAGCAAATATACCCCTTATATAGGTTTACTAATCAAGGAACTTTTTTGTCGTACTATGGCTGCAGCAGGCGCAAAGATATTATATAACCTCAATGCAGCCATGATATGGTGCCAAAGTCATTTTTATTGTCAGTCTTAGTACACAATGTAACGACAGAAGAGTATTAAACTTTATTTAAAACTGTTTTTGAATTTTTTTGGAGTGAGATGCTAATGGTCTAATCTGATTCAATTAATTATGCTAAGCTAAGCTAAAAGGGCTCCCACCAGCCCAGAAATTGACTGAAGGGATGTAATATGGTAAAACTAAACTATATAACTATTGGTGGCTTGTAAAATTTGCCTTTTTTTAAAAGTGGAGTGTAACTTTATGGAAAAAAATTACTTTAATGCACTATGTTTTTTTATGATGCATTGTGGGGCTTTTTAGGAAACAAATGTTTCAGTGTACTGGAAGAATTTTGCGATTGAGACAGCCCTTAAAATGGCTGACTCTCTGGTCAGCACTCTGACTACTGAACTATGGAGCTGATTGATAAGCAGCCATAAACTTTATTGGTCACAAGCCTCCCTTTCTGCAATAACCCAAAAGCCACTTGGTGAAACCTGCGGGATGCAGACTTGAGAAAAAGAATACATCATCACTGCAGCGCTCTATACGTAAAGTAATCATATTTGTTTCAGCATTATGCATGCATTCATCATGATGTTTGACAAGAACTGTGAAATCTTTTGAACGGGTTGTTTGGAGAGATCGTGCCATACTATTTTGGGGAAGAAAACTGCTCAATCAGTCAAAGCTGAATGTAAGTGTGCAGTTTTTTAATCTC